AAATCAACAGGAGTTAGCCTGTAGTGGAAAAACTTTAAAAACCTGAAAAAAGAAAAGGGTCCAAAACATGCTAAAAAGCACATCACAGCCATCCATGGCAGTGTGCTTACAGTGAAGCACACAGACACAGCACAGAGTAAAACAGCACACAGCACACAGTTAACCCTTTGATCGCCCCACAATTTAACCCCTTCCTGCCCAGTGCCATTACAGCAGCAGCTGTCAATCACCGGGTCCTGGCCAGTGATTACTTGCCGCCGCCTGGTGATTCACAAGCATCTCCGACGAGGAGGAGAACTGTATGTAAACAATACAGTTCTCCTCCCTGTCAGCTCCTACACACTGCTTTGGATGGCTGTACACAGCACAGCTATCCGAAGCAGTGTTCTTACAGTGAAGCACACAGACACAGCACACAGTACACAGTTAACCCTTTGATCACCCAAATGTTAACCCCTTTCTGCCCAGTGCCATTAATAGTGTCAGTGCTTTTTTAGCACTGATCACTGTATTGGTGTCACTGGGGATGTCAGTGACATCAAGTCAGTTCCCCCCAGTGTCAGAATGCCCGCTGCTGTCCCGCAGTCCCGCTATAATTCACTGATTGCCACAATTATTAGTAAAATAAATTAAAAATCCCAGTATATATTCCGCCATTTGTAAATGCTATAACTTTCACGTAAACCAATTAATTTACATGTATTGGGATTTTTTTTTTAGCAAAGACATGTAGCAGCATACACTTTGTCCTAAATTTATGATGAAATTTGATTTTTTTACTGGACACGTTTAATAGCAAAAAGTCAAAAATATTGTTTTTTTCTCAAAATTGTCAATCTTTTTTTTTTTTATAGAGCAAAAATAAAACGCACAGGCGATCAAATACCACTGAAAGAAAGCTTAATTAGTGGGAAAAAAGGACGTAAATTTCACTTGGGTGCAGCGCTGCATGACCACGCAATTGTCAATTGAAGAAATGCAGCGCCGTAATGCAAAAAATGGTCTAGTCAGGAAGGGGGGTAAATCCTCAGGAGGGCAAATAGTTAATTGGGAAGCCCCATCTGTAGCAAATGAGTGTTTCAGCCAAAACTGAGGTGTTCTCTTTCAGCTGATGGTGCCTATCCAGGGTGGCAGGGGATACACCAATAAAAACCTGTAGCTTGCAGCCATCAAGTGAGATATTCTATGTATTCTTGGCTGCTCTTAGTATTTCCTCCCTAACAAGATAGACCTTAAGGCACAAAATTATATCCATGAATTACTTTGCTATAAGCAAGCATTTACCTGAATGACATCGATTCATTCAGGCTTTTTTTTTTTTTTTTTTTTTTTTTTTTGTGCTTAGCTGTGATTTGGCCACAGCTAATCACATGACATGTGCATGTGATCACTGTGACCATTCACAGCTAGACACTAGTATACAATGGATGGCATGAATGAAGCCATCCATTGTATACAACTGTCATGTGACCTGCTGTGATTGGTCACAGCAGGTCACATGGTACCGGCAACGGGGGCCGGTACTCAGATCTGTCATCGACCGTGTCCAAGGTACGCTGCCGGTGACAGATCGTGCCGCTGCGCAGCTCTGCAAGCACGAAAACTGCACATGCCCGGGAGTACGCCATATGGCATCCACCCAGAAATCTACAGCATTTTGCCAGCCGCCAAACGGCTATTGGCCGGGCGGCTATTGGTTAAATTTACTAATCCTCATTTTAAAGACCTTTAAAAAAATTTTTGCAATTATCAACTACATTGGTAATTCAAGTACACCGGCACATTAGAGCTGGTCTCCTTGATTCTGCAGAAAGACACACATCATTTTATGTCAGGTCAGTTGTATGCTACTTGTGTGTTAGTCTGCTAACTGCTTTTTTTCAAAGTAGGGTCAGAGATGCCGAATATAGTTTTATCTTTCTGCTTGGGATCTCTAGTGTCTTTAACCCATTCTCATTCACAATCTGTATACAAGTATTCCTCAGCACAGTGCCTCATGCTAAAAATATGTTCATAAATGTCATCCTTTTAACATTTACAGCCAACAGTTTGTGAGGCTGCTAGCTGTCAAGTATGGCTGTCACTGCCAAGCAAGAAGGCTGCAGACATAAAAGCTTCATTTTGGGAAAAATTGGTTTGCAAAGGTCACTTCAGCCTGTACTTGGCCTCTATGTAGGTGGGGTGCAGTGTGGTGTGGTAGCAATAAGGTCTGATATAAGAACTTGTATTGAAGCAATGATGTAATACGAGAATGGCAGACTGGTTGCTGTGACGTTCAGATAGTAGGGTCAGAATTTGGAGTAAACAACATGAAAGCATGGATCCATCCTGCCTTGTATCATCGGTTCAGGCTGGTGGTGTAATGGTATGGGGGATATTTTCTTGGCACTAGCAAAGTGTACCTAATAAAGTGGTCAGTGAGTGAACGCACTGTATATATTACACTTTTTTGTTCAGTAGATTTTTATTAAGGTTTTTTTTTTTACATTTTTATCCCCTTGTCATCCTATAATAATAAAAAAAAAAAGCAAGGTTTTTACACACAAGTTACCAACACAAAATGACTTTAATAAATTAGGCCTAGGCATTTAGAACTTCCATGGTCTGCAGGCACGAAAGAGTTAATTTATATTCTCTGGATTTCAGCTTTCAGTTAGCTAAAGCTTCCTGTATTTGTTGCATCAATAAAGAAAAAAGCATGCAAGAGGTGCTGGGACTTTGATGTGAGTTCATACAAAGTAGTGAGAAGAAAAACATTTGGAGTGCTCAATGGCTCTGGTTAGGCTGCTCACAACAGAAAGGGCTTCCATCCAGTGCATCCAGGTTACTAGAAAAAACATGGACATCTTGATTGCACAAATACTGCTGGCTAGTAACTTCCCTAGTCCAGCAATTAACTTCCTCACACAGATTTACATAGGAATTTCTTATTGTGCATCTGTTCAACTTTCATACTTTAACTAAAGCCCTGATGAAGGGGCAGTGTTTTCTGGTCCTTGAAATGCATTGGCTGTTTTTAGTGCAAGCCAATAAATCAATCTAGACACTTTTATCATTTAGTCTCCTGCTCCTACCTTTGGTGCATGTATTTATTACATAGCACTTTACAGTCCTATTCTCATAAGTCTCTGTCTTATGAGCAAGCTCCTGTTTTAGACCACTATCATATGCACACAGCAAAGCAGATACTGAAAGAAGAAGCCAATTAACCCACATTTATGCTTCTAGATTGTGGGAGATTGTGTCCTAGATGGCATTTGAACCCAAGACACAGAAATGTCCATTCATAAGTCTCTGGTGTTAATTGATATTGTTCACATGGCCAGAAAACTATATGGTGCAGAACGTATCTTTTCTTCTGAAAATGAGACCATAACCTGTAAGTATATTATGGAAGGTTACTCTTCATAGGGTTGATATCTCTTTTTTTATCAGTGCTGGAGAGTTAAAGCAGATGGCAATTTCCCATATCTTGATGGTTGATGATTGTTGCTGAGATTTGAGCTCTTGAGTTATTATTCTGAAAATCTGCTGTAACCACTTAACACTAACTGAGCACTTCAAGCTGCACCCAAAAAAAAAAGAAGGGCTTTGCCTCCTCGTGGCAGAACCTCTAGCAAGGAGAACAGTGAGCAGCACAAAAGTGACATCATCAAATCTTGATTCAATTTGATTTTCTAAAGGCAACTAGACTGTTTGCTTTTCAAGGGGATTTTCCTGTAGCTTAATGAATGAGGTAAAGTGCCTCATCACGTGCGAGGAAAAAAAAAATATTTTTTTTCCTCGCACATGATTCAGTACTCTTTGCAAAGTGATTTTTTTTGCACACATGCACTAGGCTAAGATAAAATTCCCTTGCAAAGTGAATAACCTATTTCCCTTTATTAAATCAATGCATAAGAGTCAGAGGCAGCCGTGCTTAAGATTCATACAACTGATATACAGTTCTGAGGCTGCCTAGGCCCCATTCCCTTTTTGGGAAGTGTATTGATATTTTCAGGAATAACTTAAAAAAGGTACATTTTAAGGGTATATATTAAATACGATTAACATTTATAAGTGTTTCCTATAACATAGCAAATCTTTACATTTTGAGTTTAGGTCCACTTTTACCACTTTTTAACCAAGCATTTTTTATATTGTCCACACCCATGTTAAAAATTGCATAGTTTTCTAAAAACTCCTTTAAACCCCCAAACAAGTATATCTTTTCTGGAGAAAAATTATATCCAACTTTTCAGTAAAATATAAAAGATGGGGTTACATTGAGTAAATAGGTACCAAACAGGTCAATACTTAAAGAGGAGCTCCAGTCTTATTTGTGTTTATTAACTGATTCTCGACTGCCCTATACTAGAACTACTGCTACAGGGCAGCAGGGCTGCACAATATCACGTATATATACGGGATTTTGTATTCCCGGGTAGGGGGCACTCGTGTGCCCTACCTGTGCCACCATTGGTGGCTAGAACTGTTGATCACCAGTCCCGGACGGATATTCTCCGCCAGCACCCGGCAATCGCCGAGAAACACTGACAGTGAAGAAGTCTGTATGTAAACAATACAGATATTTCCCCTGTCAGCTCCTGCACACTGCTTTGTATGGCTCTGCATAGCAGAGCGATTCCAGTGTCAGCCTGGTGGGTGGGGTGAAACACATCAGAAGGCATGGCCAGTATGGCGGCTGAGGCCATACCAAGCCCCCTATGCAATAGCATGGACAGGTGACAGGTCCTCTTATTGGAGACATCAGGGTTTTTGTAAGCTCCTAATGTCTCTTCTTCCCCTTCACTGCCACTAATCAAGCATAATTGGTTTCCCCTGCAACAGCAGATGGGGAATAACAGTTGAGGAATGACGTATCACCTTCAGATTCATTATTTGTTCATCAGTTGTTTCCCAATCACCTCCCACAGCCAGCCATACAGGCATTTACCAGAGGAATGAGTCCAGTAACCACTGTGGAACTAATGGCAGTGGAGAAGAAACATATTCAGAGGCAGGGGCAGACTGACCATTTGGAAACTCGGGCACTGGCCGAGGGCCCGAGGTCAGTAAGAGGCCCCATGAGATGCCCCTGGTACCTTTTTCATAGGCTTTTTTGAGTTTGGGCAAGGACACAGGGGCCCCATGATTCCCTATTGCCCGGGGGCCCCATGAGTTGTCAGTCCACCCCATTCAGAGGCCAGTAAAAGTGATCAGGTGGCTCTAGAGCAGCCCAGATCACTTTAACCCACTAGCCTTTTACCAACTCTAAAAAGCAAATATTTACTTTAACCCCTTGAATAACAAGATGTTTAGTAACATACCTTAGTAGACAATGAGACTGATTTACTAAAACTGGAGAGTGAAAAAATCTGTTGCAGCTCTGCATAGAAAACAATCAGCTTCCAGTTTATTTTGTCAAAGCTTAATTGAACATGCAGACGTTAGAAGATGATTGGCTACCATGCACAGCTGCACCAGATTTTGCCCTCTCCAGTTTTATTAAATCATCGCCAAGGGGTTAGCTTCCAATGGCCCTTTTTCATATTAAGGAGAATGCAATAGAATGTGCATGAAAATGCATAAGAGATTATGAACACTGCTATTTTCACACAACATAGTAAGATGTCTTAGGTCATTCAGAACCCTAATTATACTCCTGGGTCATGTTACTCAAAGTAAAACGAAATAAATCCATCTTTAGTGTCCTGTAGCTAGCAGCTGGGGAGTCAAAGAATGGTAACCGTAGGTTCAACACTTTTAACCCAGGTTTCAGAATTATTGGCAAACTCCTTATTCCAATATTTGCATACATTTTTTTATCTTACAGAAAATATTTTTTTTTCTGTCTTGACTATAGCACCTCATTTACTGTATAAAAAATTACAAGATAAAAAAAAGTGCCCCTCTTCCCTCTGATAATACTGGTCCAGCATTCCATATTATCCCTTTTATAGTGAAAGGTTTGTAAACATTAGTAACTATATATTTAACACAAATGAAAGTGCTCCTTGTCACATTAAACTAGGTCAATATTGAGTTATTCTACCTCTTTAAATGAGCCTCACAGCATGCAATCACAATGCAGGTTGCATTTGCACTGCCTATAAAATATTGATATCTTTGCTTATATATAAGTAATTCATTACTTTCTGTTTCTGGGGCAGCATTTCTAATTAAACTGCTGTAAACTGGCTTCTAGTTTCACAGACGTGACAGATAGCACTTCAGAATGTTTCACTTTGTCTGTGAAATGCTTTGCAAATATGTTCTGTGCAATCGAGCTGTGAAAGAGAAGTTTTTTTACACTCCATATATCATTAAAATCCAAGTTATGTCAAAATGTTTATTGGTAATTGGTAGAGAGTCTTAAAAAATAATTAAGTTTTAATGCAGTTTTGTGCTATTTTTAGTATATGTGCCCCTGTTGAACTACTTTGAGCTCCCTACTTTTTGTTTCTTTTTATAATGTGCACCTTCATCTATGACCCAGCAGTAGCATCACCAGACATTTGAGCTTTTGTCACCACAGCAACAGAAGCAGAATGGCTTTGGCTGTTTGGTTTCAGAACTTCCTGCACAGGCATCTCTAGAACATTATCACTGGCCATAGATGGATCAAATCTTGGCTGGTTCAGCAGGGACCAGCCAATATTCGATCCATCTATGAGCAGGCTGATTTTACCCAATATGATCGACTTGGGTACAACCAGCCTGTCAATTTTTAGCATGCAATTACTGCCCCTGGCTATAGCTGCTAGCAGAAATCATTGTGTTCTCCCACCCAGGAAGCCCCCCCCCCCCCCCCCCCGTCGGCAGAACACAATAGTGCTGTGGGAGTCATTTCACCATCAGCACAGTGTTGATGAGGGAATGCCTCCTGTAGCACTATTGTGAGTGATCAAATGATTTTCCCATGGTTGAAGGAAACAAAAAAACGATTCATCTATGGCTTGCCTTAGTCTCCATTCAGACTTACTTGAGCATTTTTCAGCTTGTTTCACTATGCCCGACTACACTCAACATACATAGTTCCATTCTTTCTAATTATCCAAGTTGAGGCTGAGGTGATGAGAGAGCTTCCCTTACAGCTAAGTGCAACGCACTCCTGAAGGTGGTAACAGAAGGAGCAGTGCCCAAAGAAACACAGGTTGCCAATGATGTAGTTGCCTGGTGATACCCAATGAGACGACACCTGTGGATGGACAGGATACAGGAGCCGTCTCTTCAGAGGATTGGCCGATCTAGATGGATGGGCAGAGCAGGAAGCAAAGTCAGAAGCCAGAGGCGGGGTCAAACACAGAGCATCAATCAGTAAAGACAGCAGCAAAGTCAGGAGTAGGTCAGGGTCATGCACAAGTCATCAATCAGGAATAGGTAGGAGCAGATCTTAGAAACAAGCCAAGGTAAGAGCCAGAAGAGAAGACAAAGAAGGTAAAGGTCAAGGCTGCAGTCCTTATAAAGGCCACTGGGCATCAGCAGCTGTCACGCCCTACGTGTGCCGATGCGCCATCGCGTACATGGATTGGGTATTGGCGCATTTGCCAGGGCTTCCTCATTTCCTTCCCTGACAGTGCCCCTTCCCGAGGGGCAGCCTCCAGATGCCCAGGCGTGCTCGCTTTTCGGGGAACCTGTTGAAAAATTCCTGAAGTAGCTAAGAAGCGTGCACATTACTTGCTGGTTCCCACGAACTATCCTCCGGTGGATACCCTTTCCATTTAATAAGGTACTGGACTTGTCTCCCCCTCTTTCGTTCATGCAAAATGGCCTCCACCTCAAACTCAGTGTCTTCTCCTACCATGACTGGTGGCAGAGGTGGTTCTTCTCTTTCAGGAATAGAACTCAATATGACTGGTTTTAGTAAAGAGATGTGGAAGACAGGATGAATCTTATAAGACTCGGGCAAATTCAGCTCGCAGGCCACAGGATTATTTCTTTCTTACTTCCAAAGGACCCAATGAACCTGGGTCCTAATTTCCATGAGGGACAGGCAAGTTTGAGGTTTGATGTAGAAAGCCAGACCTTGTCTTCCACCTTCAATACAGGATTACCTCTCCTCCTTTTATCAAAATGTGTCTTATAATCCTCCTGAGCTTTTTACATGGTCCTTCGGAGTATCTGATAATTAGATTGGATGAAAGTCAATCTCTCCTGGACTGCAGGCACTGCAGTGCCTTCTGGGGTAACATCTGCAATAAAGGAAGGGTGAAATCTAGAAAAAAGAGAGCCGCCCTTAGCATGAGAGAGGTTCTTGGCAGACAAAGATCTCTGGACAATCACCTGTGGATAGCAGAGAGATGGATCCAACAAGGTATTCATAAATATTATAAATACTCCATTCACTTTTTATAGGCAGGATGTGGGAAAACGCAGAGTAGGTAGTTGGGGGGGGGGGGGGGGGGGAGAGGAGGTCAGATGGGAGGGGGGGGATAGAGATAATTAGGGAGATAATTATTGTAGTAAAGTGTTTCTCTTGTTTATTAGAGAAAATGAATGTAAAATGTATTTGGTTGAAAATCAATAAATATTTATAATAAAAAAAGAAAGCAACTGGGTGCAGAAGAGACTTGGGCCCCTAGCTCTGAGAAAGGATTGCTCCTGTAGCAATTTCCGAGGCGTCAACCTCAAGGACAAAGGGTAAAGGGATTTGGATTTTGTGGTACTGGAGCAGAGGTGAATAGAGTGTTTAATTTGTCAAATGCCACCTGAGCTTCCTGAGACCACTGGAATTGAGTATGAAAATGGGTTAACTGTGTGATAGAATGATTGTAGAAAAGTCCTTAATGAACCTCCTGTAGAAATTGGCAAAGTCCACAAACCTCTGGATACCCTTCTTGTCAGTAGGGGCAGACCAATTAATGATGGCTGATACCTTTTGGGGATCAATAGAAATCCTATCTGTGGATATGATTAGGCCCAGGAATCGAATTGATAATTTCTCGAACTCACATTTTTCTGCCTTTGCATATAGTCCATGCTGTCTCAGGGTAGATAAGACTTTCTTAACATGCACTCGATGGAGCTCCAAGGTGGCAGAAAAGATAAGGATATCATCCAAATAAACTATCAAAAAGGGATCCAGGAATTCCCAAAAAATGTCATTTACAAGGTGCTGAAAGGTTACAGGAGTGTTGCTTAACCCAAAAGACATAACAAGGTATTCAAAATGCCAAAAGCAGGTTCGAAAATCTGTTTTCCATTCATCTCCTTCGTGAATTCGGACTAGATTATAAGCGCCACGAAGATCAAGTTTCGTAAAGACTCGGGCAGCAGTGAATCTAGGGAAGAGTTCAGGAACAGGAGGGAGTGGGTAACAGTTCTTAATGGTAACTGTCACAGAGCTAGTGTCCCCCCCCCCCCCCCCCCCCCCCCCCCACCATCCCCCCAGTTCCTGCTTGCCACCCTCCACCCCCCAGCATCCCCTCAGTCTGCTGCCACCAGCAATCTGCCCCCCTGCTGAGGTGGCATCCTGCTCCTCTGGCTGAGTGCCAGAAAGTCTGCTCCCCTGCTGTGTCTGCATGTGGATTTGCCACTCTAGAAAAGGATGCTACCCTAGAAAGGAAGTTTGCAGCCACTGAAAAAGCTCAAGAAAGACAAAGAGTGGGAAGCCACAAAGAACCAAGCAGCTGCTCCTGTGCCTGTCCCTGTGTCATGGGAGGCCTAGAGAATATCCAGAAAGGACTGTAAGCCCTACCAAGAACACACCGGAGATGTGGAAGGGTTCTTCCAGGGCTTTGAATATCAATGCGAACTACTAGAGGTCCCACCCACAGACTGGACTCGCCATATAGTAGGGCTGCTTGACGGAGGGGCTGCTGAGGCCTACCGAATGATGGACCCCCTCAAGAAGCGAAACTGTAAGGAGATAAAAAAGGGTCATGTTGGACTACTACACTGTATCATCAGAGTCATATCGGGCCCAGTTACGGATTAACCCCCACCTCCCGGAGACCTCCTTTAAGATGTTCGCACACAAGTTGTCCTTAGCATGTTGCTGGTGGCTGGAAGGGGAGAAGGCAACCTCCCCTGAGCAGATCATCCAGGCCATCCTGAAGGAACAGTTCCTTTTCAAGTACCTCCCCGAACTCCGACAGTGAGTGTGGGAACGGAAACCTGCCACCCTCAAAGAAGTTGCAGCCTTTGTGGATGAGGCCTTCTTAATTAATCCACAATGGCAGAAACCTGCTGCCGAGGTACCCCAAG